TAGAGTCGCCAACTTAAATTTCTTTACATGCTATAGGTTTTATTCTAAATCATTTGAAAGAGCTTGAAAATCTGGATTAGAGAATGTATCAAGGGGAACATTCAATACAAAAGGAATGAGCTCCGTTCTTTTCAAGATGGACCCTAAGGTCTTTGAGGAATCGTCTCACTGGCATGTCTTCAGTATCGTTGCCGTTTGTTTCTATATTTATTTATTTATAAATTTGGCAACCTAACAAGCAAATAAATGCCCAATTATAAGGTTGCACATCATACTAACTTAATACTAAAATTAACAATAATTTAAAAAAAAGAAGAAAAAAAAGTAACAACAGTATATTAATATTTAAGCGCAGGTTTAGTTGATAATATATTTCTTTAGTTTTATCATTTTCTTTTTGCTTATTTTTTTTTTTTTATTTTTTTTTTTTTTCTACTACAAGGCCCGATACTTGGTGCGGACATTTCGAGTGTTTTTTACAATGCTAAATAGGAGGTACGTTACGAGAGAACCGAAAAAGCAGCGTGCCAATTCCAACTAATTTTTATAACAAATACAAAACAACACACATCAACAAATTAACTTGTACGGCAGATAAGTTGTTTGTCATTTCCAGGTCTGTTTAATATATATCGCCTGTGGTGTGTATTAATTGCAGCAAATCTTTTTTCTTTAGCACTATTTAGAGACAATGGGAAAGATATATCGCTAAATATAAACAAAATCACCCTACAGTTCTAGTATATAAGAAAATGATTTGTGCATAGCAATGTAATTAAATGTCATAGAGGGTAGGTGTGTACTCATTTTTTTAAAGTGTGTAATAAGAGAAAACAATATCAATATATTTCTCAGGTTTTGTACAATAATTAGTAGAGCACTTTCGGCATTAACCCATCATTAGGACACTGTACAATAAAGGGTTCACAGTTCATGCAGATTATACACATTTTTTTAAAATATAGCTTTGGTGCCCTAATCACTGTGGACTGTAAATGTAGATCAAGAGTTACCTGTATGCTGGTTCCAATAAAAATAATTATTATTCCTACTGTCTTGTTTCATTGATGGGTAGAACTACTAGAACTGTTGATTTGAACTATTTAATTAAAAGTTCACGTATTACTATTTACAGTAAAATCATTTTTACTTTGACAATGAATATCACAAAAATATTTTAACTTGTTAGAATAACTTCCACGAGCTTTGTTTCTTAATTTGTCCAGAGAGTAGTAACAAAATAAATAACTTAAAGAAAAAGACTGACACGCGTGGTTTGCACAATTACCTCTATATTACTTTATTCTTTATCTTTGAGAAGGAGTAACGCTTCAAATGCTAATCTAGTGTCATTTCATCTTTTTTACTTATCCCTTCCAGCAGTCGTATGAACAATCTCGAAGCTTGGCCATATGACCTATGTAATGCGGAGTAATGTGACAATGCGACATAAATAACATTAGATTCACTTATGCATGCAATAGAGATGGATATATTTATAGTGATTTATTAATCTCAGAACTGTTAAATTAATTTAAGACAGGTTGGCCTAATGTATCAGTAATATATGCTGGATATATTTCCAATAGACACTATAAGGGCGGGTTGTACAAAGAATGCTGTAAACTCAGTTTAGCTAAAAGGAGTTTTTAACTGGTTATATTTAAAGTACAAATGTCATTTTTAAAACTATGTTTAACAATAACCGATGATTACAATAACGAGGTTCAAAGTTTAAACTAAGATTATACCCAGACAGTACACCAAATCCTTTGGATATCTACTGAACATTCCAATATCTACTGAATGTCCAGTCCATGGTGGATATCTATTTTATATCCATGAGATGTAATTTATAGACACGCAAATGACCATAAATTATAATAATTCCATCAGAAATTATTAAAAAATTACGCCATTATGGCTAATAGTACCATTTAGATATTTCAATTAATGTTTTTTTTAAATGTATTCAATAGCCCATGGATATCCGCTAAATATATCAAAGTCTAGGGCGCGAACGCAAACCATGGTGGATATCCACTGAATGTAAATTATGGATATAATATGTACATAAAATATACAAATTGATTTAATAATTATTAAAATATTACGCCATGTGATAACTAAGAAAGTGTGTAGGTATAGTTTATAGAAATTTAAAATTATAAGTTGTATTCAATATCTCACAGATATCTACTAGATAAATAATATTGGCAATGAACGCGAGCACAAGCGCGAATATTTCCTGTCCTCACAGGTGCCATCGGCTAGGGATACGCAAATTTTTTAAAACATTGATGTTGACATCAAATGATGACTATCGATTTTGAAAAAAAAATCGGAAAAGAAAATATCGATTTTTCTAAATATCGATGTTTGTTTTTCCATACATCGATGTGTCGATGGAAAAAGGAAAAGGAAAAAAGGAATACAAACATGACGCTTGACAAAAAACAAAAAAACATTGAAAAGAAAATCATCGATGTTAATTGAAAAATCTATGTTAACTAATAACATCGGAATAAAGAACATCGATGTTAAACATCGATAATTGAAACCTAAAAATCGGCGGCATCGGCCATTTTATAGTTTGTTTGTGTCGTGTCAATACCGTGAATGAGTTTTATTTAATAAGTGTGGATTAAAAGAAAGTAAGCTTTAAAATCTAAATTCATTAGTGTAAAAGGTTGATAGACTTTAGTTTAATAAGACAATAGTTAAATTCACGTGTCCTTTTTAGGTTATTCCCTAGAAATTCATGTCGTTTTTACGATACCCCTGCCTTCATATACCTACTTATTTCGTGTGATTTAGGTATTGTATTATTGTTGGTGATACGGTTTTATTTTTATTGTTTAATGGTTGTTACAATTAATTAGAAACAGGTATTTTTTTTCACTGGTTGAGGTCATCTTAGTACATCTGCCTTGTATTCAATAGCATACTTTTCAGTGTTGCCACCAGCCGATGAAGAAATTATCGTGCTGTGCTGCCAAAATTATCGATTTTTCTTGAAAATTATGTTACAATTTTCTTTATTTTGTTGTTTTGGAAAAAAACACGTCATGCTTATTTTAATATAATAACACAAAAACTTAAATGTAGACCAAAATCATCAACATTTCCTTCTTCTTCGTGCTCATATTATGTTTAGCTGGACCAACAGTTTAGATTTTAGATAAATAAGTATAATATACAGTATGTCCCCCTAAGTTGGAATCATATGGAAAACTCTTTTATTATTAATTTTAGGAAAAAAAGTTATTCAGTTCTGCATTATCTAAAACCTAGAATACAGTCATCAAATTTTTTCAGTGGTATACGAGGTTTGTCAAAAAATATGAATTTTACTCAAGAGTAAAGTACCTTTATTCTTTATACAACTGATAAAATTTGATATTTGGTTGTATTTTAGGTTTTAGATCATGCTCAACTTATTATAAAGAACAACTTTTTTTCCTAAAATTAGTAATAAAAAAGCTATCCTATGCCATCAACTGTCTACGTAAATTGGCGGCATATGAAAATCGTTTTTTTGAAAGTTGAACAATACTTAATACTTAACTACGACACCCTATAGACATATAATTTTCGATATCTTAAATATATCAACTAATGGATGTACACTGGATATGTTAAACATCTATAGGATATATCCATTGATTACTTATGAACCTCTACTAAAGGTACCTATTAGATATTTTGCTGGATATCCATAGAATATCTTCTATATCCTGGAAATAGACGGACATTTGGATATCCATATTAGATCCAGTGGATATCTATGATATCCTGTGGATATATTGGATATCCACAAAATATATTCTGTGGATATCTCTGGGATTTGGTGTGTCGTCTGGGTATTTTATCTGCCTATTATACAACCCGCCCAATAAAAAGAAAAATACTCTGATAAAGTTTTAATGCCGAAAGTGCTCGACTATTTGTAGAAAACCGGAGAAATATATTGATACGTTTTCCAGTACTACGTCTTTCATTTGATTCTTAATTAAATTTCAGGTTAAGCTTTTTACCTACCAATATTGTCTATGATAGGATAAGGAAAATAAAAAATATCATTGCATAGTGCAAATTTTATTTATAGAAAATGGTATAAAATTCAAAACAGAAGCTCCGTGCAGAATTGCGGTGAATGTGCCAAAGAAAATGCATCGAAAAATAGACGTTCAAAATTGTAGTTGATGTTTTTATGAGAAGCGGACAATCTCATGCGAAATGGATTTTTCGTTACTCACTGTGTAATGTGGAGGAAGACGCTGTTCAGCCTATGAAAAAGCAAATAATACGATAACGACCAACATAGGATGTCCAATTATAATTTTTTTGAAGTTTTAGATTATTGTTATTTACGTATTTATGTTTTTCTTATTTATTAAGAATTACAGTGTTTATAGAACTAAAAATAAATAATTTTGACCCTCTTGTGAACTTATTCCGTGAACGTGTACTGGATTATTTAAAAGCGATTTGTATTTATAACACAAACATATATATGCTTTTGAACCAATTTAAAGGTCTTATAACATAATATTTGAGAAATAAATGTTGTCTTTTCACTGGACACCTTCAAAAATTTAATGTTTTTCACATTCGTACTGTAAACTAAGTATCAGCATATAGACCATTAAAACCATTTGTACTTATTCTTAGCAAACTTATATTTATTTTTAACCGACTTAAAAAGGAGGAGGTTCTCAATTAGTCGGAATATGTTCAGTGATAATTCTTTACTACGTTGTCCGATTTCTACGATTCTTTTTTCGTTAGAAAGAGGGTACCTCAAGGGTGGTCCCATATACAACTCGTCAGAATCGGATGATCTTTAAGAAAATAAAAAAAAAACTCAATTTTTAAGGAAATCTGAACGATTTTGGAGTTGGTTTTTTAAAATGTCTTTTATAACTTGTATTTTTTTAGGCTTATTATTTGGGAATAGTTCCAGGATTTAAAAAAAGAAAATTAAAAAATCAACAAACCTTCGTTGCTTGCATCAATTGTAGCCAATGACGTTCCCTAATTGCAGGATTCTGTAGTTCAGTGACTGCTCTAAGAGAAGTCAACATATTTTTAACAGTTGCTTCCAATTGAATGTAAAGATTCCAAACTTTCACTTTTTTATCCATGATACGGATTTCTTTGGCGAATTTCTTGCATTCCAGTTCCATGCTTTCAACATCCAACTTTTTCCAAGGCGTATCTTTCCATTCTTCTACTGAACCCAGGACGACAATTGCAAAGTCCCACGTTTGCTTCACTAACCTTATTTCCTTTCTACATTTTCGCAAACCTTTAAAATCAGGAAATTGCAACTCGAACAAATCGCTCTGTTCTTTCAAATGATCCCGTTCTTGCTCCATAGATTCTATCTGAGTATTAACTTTGTCCAAAAGTATATATACATTCTTGCAACTGAACTTGAAGAACGGCAAAGTTTTAAAATGGTTTCGAAATACATCTTGTCTTATTTCGAATACTTGAAGTCTACGTTTGATCGAAATCATTTGAATAGCTTGTAGTGGAGCAATGTTCTGTTTGGTTACTGCAGCAATCTACAAATCAAAAAAGCTTTTAATAATTCAATATTCGCTTGTATACGAGTTTTGAGTATACTATAACTGCATATCTATGTTAAAAATTAAAAAAAAAGTGACAAATTATTTCCTATTTTAGTAAAATAATTATTTAATTATTAGGGCAGTTGACCCAAGTAATAATTAATATTTTCAATTTTGTAATTCATGAAAAATAGTGATGCCACGAAGGGTGCTAAAAATGTTATTTTGAAGTCTATAATATACAGAACAATTTCCGAAACCCATTTCTCGTCACAAAACAAACTCCTAGGTCCGCCATTATAACGAATCGCCATGTCGTTAGGTTTATACCTAGGAACTCGTTACCTGTGAATACATTTTTGTCACACCCATTGCATTATGTTTTCAACACTACATACTAAAAGGTTTAAAATTTTTTACGATATTTTTTGTTTACAATTTTGAATAAATTGACTTTATTTCCATTGCTTTGAGATATTTCTAAAATAAAATCGTATAAACTATTTTAAGATAGGAAATAAATTCCAATAATCTAATGTGATCAATTTAAAAATAAAAATAAAGCAAATGAGAAAAACTCGAAGACCGTGTCACTGAAACGTTGGGTGACCATTTGCTTTTAGAAGACAACTACTCCTTTGGCTACAGCACACACTGAATTATACCAAAAAGAAAACAACAGAGAGAAAATTTTCTTTTAACAGATTGACAAATTACTACTATAAAATATGACGTCATTTGGGGTAAATGGTAAATTCAACCTACCTAATCATGTCATACCACTCAAATGGTTCTGAGAAATAACAATCATCAAATCATCAAATTTGTTTGTACTAAATAACATTCTTGTATTTTGGACGCAGCCAGTCAAAAGGAGGGAAGTAGAAAAGGGTGTTACAGTAAAAAGAAACAGATTTCGCAAACCTTAAAATAATAGGGAACATTGAAAATGATAATAGCTTAATTTTAAAATTTTTATAACCATCATTTCTACATAATTTCGAGCAATCGAGTTTGAATTTTGTAAATATTAAGTGACAATACCTTTAGGGGTGGTTTCTCTATTGCTTCATTTGTACACCTAGTTACAATTCATAAATAACACCTTATTTTAAAATATAAATTCAATTTTTATAATTTTATTGTTTTTATACGTGTTAATCTCTATTTTTGATACGCCACTGCGCTCTCGCTCTGGCTAATCACGTCTTTGTGGTGCACTATTCTGAGTGAGAGCTAGGAAGCGAGAGTTTTCGCGAAATCCTGTAGCTAGAGGTCAACACGTCAACAGATCTAAAATAAAAATATTCCTGTAAATTCGAAATTAAAATATATCTACTTACAGGGTGCTTCAGAATAAAGTACCGTAAATTGTGGGACTAATTCTTAACTAATTATAAAGAAAAACTAAATATAATTTTCTTGTAAACGTCTCAGTTTTCATTCTACAGGGTGATAAGTGAATTTCCTATTTACATAATTTTCTAAATATCTTTCTTTACGTTGTTAGTCAACACACTCTATTTCAACAGTAACCCATTGACGTTGAATCAAATTTTTTGAACACCCTATATTTCACAAAAGTTAAGATAAATAATTATTCCTCACGCAATTTGTCACAGAAAAGGGACTATTTGTTGATCTCTATAGAATATTCTATTTCTGAGATTTTTCAGTTTTAGTTCTACAAAAACAAGAAAACTATATACAATTTTACCAAGGGTAGATTTCATAATGAATGTTATAAGCTCCATTAACTAGTGAGACCAAAATTTTATGTACCTAATAATGATTATGAAAACGGCCTTTAATAAAAATTTGCATTTTTGGAATTTCATAATGTACATACATGTTCGAGTAGGACTAAAACTGAAAAATCTCAGAAATGGAATGGTCTACAGATATCAACTACAAGTCCCTTTTTTGTGACAAATTACGTGAGAAATAATTATTAATCTTAAGTTTTATGAAATATAGGGTGTTGTTATTTATCGAAATAAAGTGTGTTAACTAATAATAACGATTAACATATGCATATTTTTAAGTTAGTCTTTAACATAAGGCAAGATATTTAGAAAATTATGTATTCGTGAAATTCACTTTATCACCCTGTAGAATGAAAACTGGGACGTTTATCGGAAAATTATATTTAGCTTTTCTATAATTAGTTAAGATCTACAAATCGCCCGGCTTTTATTCCACCTAGTCTCTGAACTAGGTACTACAGCGACCTTTGATTTTGCGATATCATTTTCGCTCGTTAAATATCTACTCATGCTCAACCCGCCGTAATTAAGTTCGATCGAAATTTGTATTGCAATCAGACTCCATTAAAGACTGGAGTCGAGAATTTCTATTTCTTGCTGAAGAGTCCTAATAAGGACGAAACCGGTCCAAGAATAACTTGCTCCTTAGTGGGCAAAATTAAAGGTAGAGTGTTGAAAATATTTTCTACCTCTGCTATTTTCTTTCGACGTAATTCAATTATACCTGGTGAGGTATTAGCCAAAGCAAAGAATACCTACCCAAGAAGCAAAACTAAATGGGCGATTCGTGGACAAAAAACACCTTTTAATGTCAAATACAGCTGTTAATTTATGTAGAGCAACGTTTGGTACATTATTATTAGCGTTTTTTAAGTTTTAAGATTTTTCTTACATAAAAAAATATAGTGCGCTGTTCGTAAATTTTAATGAACGTTTTTGCATCCGGCTGTAAATTTTTTTTCCTACGACCACTTAGGAAAGTGACACATATCACACTATATAGACCTATGGAAAGTGCCCTATATCACACGCGTATGAATAAGAATTTACTTTCCACCCAAGTGAGAATATGCTACTTTCCGCAGTAGCTGTCAGAAAATGTCAAACACATAATTTCTATTTTGATCTATGTAATGTCCATATTAATACTAAAATCGATATGATTGTTAAATTATTGTAAATTAGATCCTAGATATTTATCTTTAACAATTATTTTTAAAATAATTTTAAAATAACTAAGATATATTTGCTTTTTATTCTGGTTAAACACATAAGCGATTAGATCAATCAATTACCGTAAGGCCTGTTAGCTCAGTTGGTTAGAGCATCAACTTTGCAATTTGAGACCGTCCAACGACCGCGATCGAATCCTGGCTGGGCCAGAATTTTTTTTTTATTTTTTTTTTTAATTTTTTTTTTTATTTTTTTTTATTTGTTTAGAAATTATGAAAATTTAATAAATACGATTATTGTTGATTATTTTTTTAAATACATTTTAATTATTATAATAATCTGGTTTTACATTTTTTGATGAAATTATTTTGTGGTCGTAGGAAAAATATTGTACATCACTTGTGTGAAAAGTGATTTTCCACACTCGTGTGATAGTCGCACTCGGCTTACGCCTCGTGCGACAATATTTCCCACTCGTGTGAAAAATGTCACTTTCCACACTCGTAATGTAATATACTATATTTTTAAAATTTCTAAATCTGTATTACCTATAATGATAATTTACGACTACGTATTATGCATCGTTTAATTTCTTAGTCTTTTATTTCAAATATTTTTTTTTGTTTTTTAAACCATTCGAATTAAAACACTAAATAACAATAATTAAAATATATGACAAACTGATTCCGAGGAACCAAATCACTGCTATCAGGTTGCAATCGAAATGCATGCAGCTACCTACAGTACTTCTAGATATGTAACGTGTGGAGGGTGTGTTACCACATGCACTAGGCCCATTGTGTATCCTCCTAAGATAATAGGCATCTCCTAGCACGTAAGCCCGTCTACAGATTGAATGTAGGTGACAACGTCGCCAAGAGGTGCTTCTCTTATGTCGGCCGGTGTTAGCCAATACTCGCCGAAAACAAATTTTCTAATAAATAAGAGCATCGGGCAATCATAGAGGATATGCTCAATGGTCTCGTCTTCTTGTTCGCACCCCCTGCAAGGTGCGGATTATGACAGCCCCATTATATGAAGATGCTTACGTACTTGGCAATGACCAGTACGAATACCTGTGATCAGGCGCAGATTCTGTCTAGTTATAGTGAAGTATTTATTTGCTGTAATGTTGTCAAGATAACTTAACAGCTCCCTGGAAACTCTGCAGTTTCTTTAATTAGGTCTGTCACTACCTATGTTGTCAGTCCAATAGATAAGGGCCAGGTCCAAAAAGTATTTGGTTGGCTGCCTTCTTGGCTAGTGAATTAGCACCACATTAATGATGGATACTCTTGCCAAAGCTTCGGGACATTCTTGTACTAACCCTGAGTAAATTCGTAATCTGTTCAGGGTAAGTAGTGCTTGTCTGCTATCTGTATAGATGAGCATGTTTCTTCCAATGATACTGTTTCTGGTGATTTCTTTTACTGCTATGATAATCTCCGTGAGCTCGGTTTGAGCTACATTGCTCACAGCCCATTTTATATTGAGGTTCAAGGAATTGGAGTATATTACATCCTAAGCCTTGTTTTGTTTCGGAACTATCGGTGTAGATATAAATCGTACCTGCCACTTCCGGGTCTTCTATTCTAAACATCAGTTTCTATTCCAACCGTGCAGAGGCGTGTCATTGTCATCAGAACAACCTCTTTGATGTAAATATCAAGGGAAGTGAGACTAAAAACGACTTCCATGGCTCTAGTTGGTGTGGTTTTCCTGACTCCTATTATGTTGTGAGATGCTATTATTTGAATTTGTTATTCTTTGCGGATAGCTGTCAATTTTTGGATTTTTGGTACCCAGACAACTGCACCGTATGTTAGCATGGTCTTATAAGTCCATGTGACGGCTTTGGGGGAGAAACCCTAGGTGCGCCCCACGATTCGGCGGCGTTGTTCATAAGAGTGAGTTCCATGTTAACTTGATGTCAAAGGAGCTACCTAGGTACTTCACCTCTATTGCAAAGTTTTGTTTTATGTTTAGGAGCACTAAATGTTTTAATTCTTTACTTTAGTATGTGTTCAATTCTTATGAACCAAACGACAATGATTAATTTTCATACGTTTCCCACTGTATTAAGTTCCCTATACATACTAAAACTCATTCAGTTTCGCTTCTTAGGTAGGTATTCTTTGGCCAAAGGAGGAGTTGTTGTCAAAAGAGAAACAGCCGCACATATACTGTTGTGACTATGGCTTTGAGAATTATTTGATGTATTTTACATCTCACTCACATTTGAGTTTGGAATTATTTCCTTTTTACAAAAAATAATTTCTGTACATTCTTCTTCATTACTAAATTGAAAATTGAAACGGCATCCTGAAATACTTTTATTTTCATACCATTAGAAACTTACACTTATGCACAAAAGTAATTTAGCTCAAAATACTGTACATAAAATAAATGATATTATTTGACACAAGTCTACTGGTATTATACAATTTTACATTAATCATAACGGAATAAGTGATGATGTAATACGCTAGTTTGGTGTGATGTCATTTTGGTTCCACTGACATTTAATTCTAACCAAACTTTTAACAAAAACATCAATAAATTTGACATATACATTTTTACTACTTTTAGTTTATTTCTAAATATTGTTTACAGGTCATAAAAAAGGTATGTAATTGGTAACTAAACGATTGTATATTTGATGCATGTTACCTACTTACTTTAGGAATATATTTATAAAAGTAAAAAACGATATAATTTAGGTAAACAAAACGAACAAAACGCACTCAAAAAATCTACTGTCACTTTAATTGTCATTGGAACCATAATTACATCATAACTGAACTAGCGTATTTGGCTCATATTGGCAGTTGACTAAATTGAGTTTTCTGCTCATTTATAAAATACCTAGTTTTTTTAACTTTTAAATTTGATTTCATCAGAGTTTTAGTTCGTTTAAGTTTTAGTTCATTTTAATTTCCAAATATAATTACCTAAAGATGAACGTGGAGAGAGGAATTAATGAGGTGGTTCGAAATCATGTTTCTGTTAGTGTAAGAATTAGTAATGAATAAGAAGTACCTTGGTACCAGAAACAAGTGTATCTATTTTATATAAAAAAAAGTACAGAGATTTGAACACACATACAATGTTTGGTGTGGAATTGAAAAAAAATTAACAATGTTTGTAACAACATTAGAAATAAACAAATCAGTGAAAAACCTGTTAAAACATTCACAGAGGTGTATTGACGTTCACGGTGTTCATTTTGAAAATCTACTTTAGTTTTAATTATTTGTTTCTGTTAGTTTGTTCTGTTACTTTATTAAATAAAGTGAGCCCGGTTCTGTGTAGATGTTCAATTTCTCAAAATGCAGTAGTTAAAAATAAATGAAGATAGTACTTAATTTGTGTAGAGTTTTAAAAATACAGAGTAAATATTTGATTTCAATTTTGTAAATAGTGATTTATAATATTGTAGTCGCCATTATAAAAATTTACTGTAAGAAAATCATTAAGTATTATCACATTCTTTTATTATTGATTCACGTACTATTTAAATGTGCAGTAATATTTATTAAAATCAGATATACAGGGTGATATTCTAGGTAAGCTAAATTATGGCTTTGATTAACTTAAGAGAGTAACTTTTTTACAAAATTTTATCAAAATATCTATAACCGTTCAAACAAAATGGCCGACTTTAGTTTTGGCAAAAAATCATAAATCAGAAACGAGTGAGATTAAAGGCTAAGTATGGGAGTGTTTTGAACTAAGCAAAGTGTACTCTACCTTCCATTAAGCTTTGTCCGTTTAAATCTGAAACACCCTTTATATCCTCATCACATTTTTAATTTTTTTAATTTTTTACCTTAAATGTGAAATCACATACCTCAACAACTAATAATATATCAATTTGATTGAATAATTTGTTACTACATTTTGGATTTTTTAAATAAACTTTTTCTACGTTCATGCAAAAAACAAAACTTTATTGAACTATATTTAGTGAAAAAACTGGTTCTTTATTGCACTAGTGCAATAAAAATTTTATTGCACTCATCTGTCATTTTACTACAGCGTTTTATGATCATGACAAACATAAATATTCAAATCAACGCCAAATATTTAGTCCATTTTTATTTTTTGTGTTACGTTTTAAAAACAATTGCATATTTCATATTATTTTCAATCATTTAATAAATAAATTAATAAAAAAATGTATTTTATTAAAAATGTCATTACAAATTATAAACACAAACGTAAATAAATGCCTCAAACAAAGGTACACGATCACAGCCACTATGATTTGGATAATACAACTGCAGTTCTATAAAACATTTTTTGATTTTTGCATGAACGTAGAATAGTTATTTATGCAACAAGTGCAAAAAGTAAGTGTTTATTGCACGCGACGTGAAATTGACAACACAACACTTTTTGCACGAGTTGCATACAATATTTTTTGCATGAACGTAGAAAAAAAATATTGTATGCAACTCGTGCAAAAAGTGTTTATTGAAAAAGAAACATTAATTGCTATTCTATAAACATTTTAGTATTATGTCTTAGCAACACAATGCAAAAAGTCTCAATTAAATTGATTCATATAGGAACTGGGTTCCAAGATTTTACAGTTTTAACGTCGCTCCATTAATAGTACTAAGTGATGACTGATTTACTTCTTTGGCAACATAATTATTTTACTTCTGAAAGTGTGCTTAAAGGTAAAGATAAGAATAAATAAATTGTAGAATGTTGTCTTAGTTTCCCAAGTAATCTTTCAATGTGACCTTTTTCATTACCATTACCTGTTTGCATTCCTCCCATCGAGAAGGAATTTCTTGAATCTTAACAAAAAATGCTTCGGGTATTTCAAATCCATAATCCTGTGGTAGCATGATAAGCAAAGTAGAGTTAAAGAAAGACATAAGAGAGAGTAATTTAAATTAACTCATGAAAACTTTATATTATTATCATTACCTTTTTACAATAAGCCCATCGATCTGGAAGATCTTGAAATTGTAAATAAATTTCTTCTGGGAACATAATGCCGTATTCTGTCAACAGGTCCATAATTGCTTTTAGTGGCTCAAAAAGGGCATCTGTTTCCACTGTTCTATCTCTGATTGAAAATAGACATTGCATAACTGATAAAAGGCCATCGTAATCTTCTTCAGTGAGCGGAATCTAAATAAAGCAATACTAATTTAGAATAATTAAGAATGGTTGAAATTTTATAAAATTAATAATTAAAAATAAATTATTTGTGAATTATACTACGAACCACGTCCTTATAGACCACATAATGTAGTAACGCCCCTGGTGTTACACATGCCACTGTATTTTAAAGAACCAATTTCCATGGTATAAAAAATAAAAGGTAGGATATCAACAGTGTCAAAAATAGGACGGCCACGCGCATAACGTCACGCGTAGAGTTTATATAGGCGCGAATTTAAAAATACTGACGAAGTGTGAGGAAAATATATGCTACTTACAGAAATTTCATGAATATTAAAGATAATATTTTAGAAATTACATGAAATATCTATGGATATTATTATAGGATAGTTAAGGAAAGAACTATGAAGGAACATAAATGCAAATACATACATAAAAGAAGTATTTATTTAAACAATTTTTTCCTTTTTCTTTTTTAATGATTCATTATGGTTATACAAATTCGACTTCTAAAGAATAGTTTTTATAACTAGGATAATGAAAAGGGTATCTTCGCAACTTGAAACTGGGGATCCTGGTAACAATTTCGCATCTGGATATGCCGGAAATTTTTATCTTATTACTCATTTACCTGCATTAAATTACCCAATTGAATAAAAATAAGTTTTAAAAAATATGTTTTTTCATATAATATAATGCAGACGTTCATATAATATAATGCAAAGCATAAAAAAATGTACGAAATACAAATAACAGCTACATAACATTTTGTGGGTGCATATACAAAATTAAAATAAAATGTCTGCTATTTTCCTGGACAAAGTTGCTGACAGTTTTTTTTAATTCATTCATCAAGTACAAGTCGAAATTTTCTTTTTTTTGCGACATTTACAATTTCACTTATGCTTATATTTTTAGCCTTCAAAGGGTAGAGTCTCCAGTTTAGAAGTCCCAAGTTGCGATTGAACTAATCTGAAGTTCTGATTAGAGGTTCCTCTTATAATTGGAAGGTTGAAAGTGCTTGGAATACATATGAAAATGTATTTGCAGGATTACAAGCCACTGCAAGGGCTGCTCCATGTCAAATTTTCTTGGGAAGGAGGGTAGAATTGCCTATTTAGTATATTTTTTTTAATAAAAGGCTCATGGATTTTAAGAATTTTAATCTAGGGAACGGCATGCTCCCCTGATCCTCCGCTGGAGCCGCCCTTGGGCCACTCCTCACTTCTGACTGAGCTCTTACTGTCCAAGAAAGCGAAAAACCATAATATCTTTCTTGAATCCTTTGCTTTAATTGTTACTGTTACATCCCTACCGCAATTTTTCAAAGTTTTTTACTAAAACCACTCGGAGAGAAGAAAGTTTACAACAAAATATAATACAAATATCTGTTTAATACCTTATAAATCACTATAAACGACTCCCAAACTACTGCAACATGTGTCTGTCTTATGATATTTATTTCGCGCCAACTCTACTAACTCTACGCATGACGTCAGCGCCGCCATGACACCATGCGCGATATCCCCCCCTGACCAATTTCAGCTTGCATCTTCATGAACCCATCGGCATAACCCAATCATTCGTTCGAAGTGTCTTATTTAAAACGAAAAATCAGTTGTCGGGTCAAAAGAAGGGTTAGTAGTTAGGAGGGTTGGTCTATGCGGACATGGTTCAATTAAGATTGAACTTCCTTACAGGTAAGCCGTTTAATTAATTATACTACGAACCACGTCCTTTTAAATAAATTTTAAATAAACTTTAACAACAATTATACAACTGATACATTAACATGTAACGTCTATCATAAAATTGAACTCTGACGTCAGGTCGTCGCCTTATATAGCTTGCCTCGACCTTCTAGAACCTTCTCGAACAATCTGGTCTTTTCTTTGACAAGAAATGACATTTCGAGACATTTCGGAAATATTATATCTTCTTCATTTACTCGTACCTTTACTTATGACGACCGCAGCACGCTACAGGGTGCTGCGTAACATTGCTCCCTCCTCTCTAGTTATTCGTCCCGAATAACTTGATTACTATAGTACCTGACTGGAGCCAATGGGGAGGATCTGGATCACGGTATGGCGCTAACTTTTCAATGTGAACTACCTTGGGTTTACTTCCCGCTGACAACTGAATGCGGTAGATCAGGGGGTTAATTTTTGAAGCCATTCGCTAAAAGTAGTATGCGTCAATTAACGCATGACATTTATCGCATTCGTCAAGGAAGGTATATTTTTGAATGCTCTTCGATGAATATTTTGCGAACAGATCAACCTAACGAAGAATTGTAGATTATTTCAGAAAAATTCGATAATCTACCAATAGAAACCTAGTATGAAACTGCTTTACCGAGATGCATAAACGTCCTATGTCATTGCAAAACCTATTAAATGTCTATTCGCAAGTGACGTCAATTTCGCATGCGAAAACGAATCAAGTAAGTCAAAAATACAGTTTAGGTAAAAGTACACGCTTTCGCTTACGTCAGGGTGGCGAATGATTTCAAAAATTAACCCCCTGGTCGTTGATTTTCTTAAGGACGGTGTAGGGGCCTTCCCAGTTCCGTTACAGTTTTGGACAAAGTCCTCTTCGGCGCTTGCGATTGTTCAACCATACTGGATCGCCTCTCTAAAAATGTGTTCCTGTGTCCTGCATGTCGATTCTAGCTATTGCTTTATCGCTATTGGCTTTTTAACGTTGCCGAGCGAATTCGTATATCTTTTTGAATATTTCTCTAAAGTTTTGTATGTAGGTTTATTCTTGTTTGGAACAACACTTACAGGGACAACCCTTATTACCCTAGTTTACTTCCCTCCTTATTCCTTATGTGCATGTTGAGAGTAATTCACTCCTGCTAAATAGCTGGTAAAGAAAGTGTCCACCAGTGGACACCTTAGAGGCAACCGAAAGGTGTAGTGGATTTTACACCTGGCCGAAAGAAAGCTATAGTGTCCATTGATGTAGCTCATTTCTACACCAGTGGGACGAACGCAAGAACCTAATATGTACTCTTTTCGATTAGCTGGTTTGACGATTTCGATGAAACAAATTTTGAAGAAACATATTTTACTGAAACAAATTTTGATAAAAAAATTCTAAAGTATAAAATCAAGGTCCAACGCTCTATACGTAAACAAACGCGCCTAGACCTCTTTCTTCTGGGTGGTTTAAAAAGGACTTTAAATTAGTAACGAAAATAATTTTTCGTTCATTTTCATTTTATTTACGCACAACAACTTATTTTAGATGTCAATCCATAACCAAAAAATTGGAATATATACAAACCAGCATTCCCGCGATAGATGTTGTTATGAATGTATCCAGCTCCTCTAACGTATTAATGACTTTATTATATAGATGATTCTTAAAAACCAAACTCCATTTACAGATATTGTTCAATATCACTTGGCGAAAGGGCCTCACATCAATTTTTAACCATTCATATAAAATTTTTTCACCAGGCATCGCTTCCACTTTATGGTATAAATTTTCATAGAAAATAATCTTTTCTTGAAATTGTTCAATAGTAGGTGGAGATTCTTTTAGGCGTCGAGGGTTGGTCTCGTCCTTTTGGATTTCTACCTCTTCGGGAGTTAACCGCCTGCCGTAAAGTAAAAAATGTTCTAGAAAAATTACTCGGTCAGTAGTCCATAAAAACACGTATTCATCAAAATCTTTGATAAAATCTATGGCTTTTTCCATTGCATCTATAACTCTTTCACAAAACGCATCGCTCTTTCTTTGAATATCTACTTCTTCTCTAATCTGGAAAAATCAACATGTCATTTAATTTCCAGCACTCAAAATAATGAAAAGATTTTTTCAATTAAATAAATGTTCCCTAAAAATGTAGTACAATTTGTTTGCAATACTTGTAGTAAAAGAAAAATTTGGAAAAGTACGGGCAAGCATATAAATATAAATTAAATCAAAATGTTAAAGTTTCCGGTTTGGTTGAGGTTCCTTGAAATGTTCTGTCTAAGTGCTAAAAAAGACGACTTTTGTCCAGTTCTCGGTCGACTCGATCCACGGTTCGTAGACAATACGGTGGTCTCGTCCGGTTGCTATGTAGATTTTATCAAAATTTTTAGTAGACATAAAAAACGTAACAATTTTGTTCTGATGCCTTATACGTATTACGCACAAGGGAGGTTTCATTTTTGATCCAAAATCACAATATTTTAAAATAAAATTCCCTGGGCACAAAAATCTGAAATTGTGATAAAATGTCACATAGGTTTCACCGCGTCAACGACGGTATTCTGTATTTGTATGTAATAAATACTCTTCCCGAGAAAATAGAGAAAAGTGGAATAGCTAACAAATATAAAAAATCTGATGTGTCCAACACATGACTTTCCTATCTAGTTATTCAGGTTTTTCTCGGTTATTTTGTACAATCTATTGTAGCACCTCTGTAAATATTTAGAGGTTAACTTAATATATACATTTTCAACATACATCTAACTCAAAACATTTTTCTATATAAGTACACTCATTGCTAACGAAAAAGCTGAAAAATTTAAATTTTATAATTTTCCTCCAATTTTTCCATTACGGTCCATTATAGATAAATCATGTAAAACAAACAAAAATTATAGAGATCGATATAGCAAACATCTTTTAAATCAACAATTTTCTTAAAAATCAGAATTTTTTTACATTTTATAATATTTCTCGAATACGGACCATTTAAGGAAAATTTTGCATAAAACAAAAATTATAGAAAATATTAGAAGTAACTTTTATTTGAAGAATTTTCTTCTCCAAACGTAAATAACAGATATATTTCATAAAATATAAAAACGACCCTTCATAAAGTACCTCCCAGATGTTCCGACTCTGTCCAAAATCTAATCAGTTTACCTCAGGCCGGAGTAAAGCTTAAGTTTAAAATTTAATGTGTTTTCTCTATCCGTTTTTAAGTTTACTTAAAAATTCTGAATTTACACTTTTCTTCAAATATCTCGAATACGGTATATTTTAGAGATATTATGTATAGGACAAAAATTATAGAGAATTATATCAGAAACAATTTTTATTTAAACAATTTTCATAAAAAATTTATTTTTTTACGTTTTGTCAAATTTTTCGAATACGGACTATTTTAGGAAAAAATTTTAAAGAACAAAAAATAAAGAGAATAACATATCAAGTAACTTTTATTTAAATAATTTTCTTCTCCAAACGTAAATAACATATATTTCATAAAATATAAAAATGACCTCCTAGTACCCCCCCAGATGTTTCGACTCTGACCGAAATCTAATCAGTTTACCGCAGGCCGGAACAAAGCTTAAGTGGATACACACCCACACCCAGATACACACCCAGACCCACACCCAGACACACACCCACACTCACACCCACACACACACCCAGACACACACCCACACCCACCCCCACCCCCAGACCCACACCTACACCCACACTCACCCACACCTACACCCATACTCACCCACACACACACACACCCACAACCAGACACACACCCACACCCACACTTGATGATGGCCTGAGCGATGCAGAGCCTACCATCTATAGTAAAGAGACAACTCAACATTAGGATTGCGCAACAGTGATAGCAACTTCGCTGACGATATAGGACTTTCTATAAAGAAAAATATTGATAAAAATGTCAAATTCTGGAATTACCGTGGGAGCCACCAGAATTGTACGAATTGTCTTCTTGTTTTCCACATAAGGAATGGTTTGCTTTGTAAATTCTGCGTTTTGTTTTCTGGTGAAAAGTGTGGGCATAACAAAAGCTTGTAACCCGACCGTCAACTTCATTGGCAAAAGTATTGGGTAAAGACGGAGTCAATCATTCACATGTAAACACAGCGTATCACAAAATATCAGGCTGTTCCTACAAATCTACCATAACCCGGAGAATTCGGTTGAAAATTAGATACTTATTCAAAGGTAGGAGAAAATAAAAAGAGATTACTCCCAATAATAGATCAATAGTGTTCTTATATCGACAAAAGATTCCTTTTGGTAACGAAATATTAAAAACCATACTGAATCAAGTTGGGAAGACAAAATATTATTCAGTTTTATTTGACGAAACTGCAGACGTTTCCCACACGACACAACTTTCTTTAAATTTGAGATATGTATACAAAAACAACTTTGTCAAATTTAATTACACATGAAAATATTAAAACCGTCAGTCCAGATATTGATTTGCTTGGTAAACAGCGACTAACTGGAGAGGATCTAGAAAAAATTGTTACAAATATATTGCAGGAACTGTCTCTTAGAGTTAAGCAACTCTGTGGCGATTGGTACTGATAGTTGGTAGTGATGTTGTGTGAAGCAGTGGGAACAGTGTCTAAATTACAGAAAAAGGCGAAAAATGCATGCAGGTGCTCTTGCATAAATCACGCCATAAACAACTATCTTTCGACTTCGGTAAATGTTGTTTTCATCAGAAATGCAGTTGAAGTAATGAAGTCAGTAGTCGCCTTTTTTAATGTCGACTAAGAGAAATCAAATCCTGAAATCAACAGTAGGACATCAGTTAACGGGATGTGTGAAACAAGGTGGATTGAGCATCACTAGTTTCGATCTGGGTTTTCTCAAATAGTTGAAGCACTTACGTCAATCTATCTCAGTATGAAAAGATACAAAGACTTCTACAGTTGCATTAACTCTGCTAAACTCTTTGTACACGACTGAGTTTTTGTCAATGTTATCTCTCATTGATATATTAAAAATAACGTTACCACTCAGCCGACTTCTTCAAAAGACAAATCTTGACGCTTAACGGGGCTTCTACAAATGTATCCAACGCGAAGTCAACAATCAATGAAAAAAGGAAAAATTGGGAGCAGAATTTTAGCAAAATTTATAAAGAGGCTACAGATGGAGTAGCAACAGGATTAGTTATTGAAATAAAATTGCCTAGAATAGCAAGTAGGCAGACCAAGCGAGAAAGCCACGATGGAATGAAGAGGAATGTTACAGAAGATCAATTTACGAGGGCATATCAAATATAAACGTGACTGTTTGGATTAAAAATTCCTGAGCGGTGATTGATCTGGAAAGAATTGATGGGCAGTTAGCCTTTACCTTCGGGGAAGGGAGCAAACTGATCAAAATTCGCTCGAGGTCTCTTTGGTATGCAAAGAAACCATGAGCGAGAAAGAAGCGCATGTCTTCGTGGAGTATTGGATTATAATAAAGTTTTTGGCAAAGGAGGGCATAAAACCAACCGAAATTTTGCGACGATTGCAGGCACAGTTTGGGGATAACACTCTGTTAAGAACCCGTGTGTTTGCATGGCACCAAGAATTTTCTGGAGGGCCTGAAAAGTTACACCAGTAAAAGCAGACGTGATTGTCAGCCGGAAAGGTAATGGCAATAGTGTTTTTTTTACTTTCTACACGATAATCGCACGATTAATGCACTGTTACTGAAAGTTGCAAAATTGTCATTTCGAAGAAAAAGAAAGAAACAATCGGTCAGAAATGTCATTCTTTTGCATGACAACACCAGACCTCATGTGGGTAATGTCACGAGGAAAAAAAAATGGAAACATTTCAATGGAAAATACTGGAACATCCTCCCTATAGTCCACACCTTTCCTCTTGTGACTTCCATCCTTTTGGACCCCTCAAAAAATCGCTTGGAGGCCAGCATCTCGGCGATAACGAAACGGTGAAAGGATTTGTGCTCCAATAGCTACAGGAACGTGTGAAGAGTTTCTATGATGCTGGAATAAAAAATCTACCAATTCGATGGGAAAAATATATTTCTAGGGGGGGGGATAGTATGTAGAAAAATAATGTTTGAAAACGTATTTAAATAAAGCTAAAAATGTTTGTAAACGAAATCCCGTTTATATTTGATACACTTGTCTTCTAGGTTAAATTCTAGTTCCTTGGATTGTTTTGGCCTGCGATGAATTATTCAAACATAATTATGTTTGAAGGAGAACTGGCCCTTTGGAAAAATCATTGAAAGTCGATAAAAAAAAATAAACAACATATTCTCGACTTGTAGGAATTTATTCCTATAAGAATTTTAGACATTTTTCTATCTAATGGAAAATGTCATGTATTTCCTTTTCACAAAAAATGTCAAAAATTCTTATAGGAAAAGATTCCTACAACTAGAGAATCGATCCACTGGAGATGTTATAGAAGTATTTGATTCAACGGATTTAAATATATTTCCAACAATCTCAGAATCTTGGCCACAGCTCCAGATAATTTAAGCACAGTAATATAATTTATAAACAACTAACATATTTCATATCTCTATATACTTTAAAAACCATAGTAATTATTATTTTATTTCTACTAAGTGTGGCTACGGCAGAGAGAAGTTTATCAACACTACGAAGAGTTAAAAACTTGATTTAGAGCTGGGATTGGAGAAGAACGGCTCACGGATCTCTGACTGCTTCGCGTCCACACTCCACAGAGACATTACAGTTGACATTGAAAAAACCATCGAAAGATTTGCTTAAAATGGGAATAGACGACTTAAGTTGGTTTTGAAAGTATAATTATTATTATACTACAAAAATTAAATAACAAAATATATTAAAATAAATTTTTCATGAACGATTTTTTACACTTAGGTTCTATAATTCAAAAAACAAGTACTATAATTCACGAGTAAATATAATTATGTTTAATTTGATTGTAGAATTATTTATAGTCCTAGTTAGACAGTTTAAATCGGAGATTCCCAAACTATTTTATACAAGAAACCCCTTTTCTAAAATGAACTGATACCTCAGACCTCCATAG